CCCTCCCCACCCCGCGGCAGCCACAGCCCCGCCCGCCAGGGGGCGGCCAAACCCGCCGGGAGGCCCTGTTGCTTAGCAACAGCGGAGCGGGGGCCCGGCAAAGGCTGGTTCCCGGCCCACCTCGGTGATCACGTCGTGCAGGTAGCGGAAGGGCGGCTTACTCAGCAGCCGGTCGGTCAGCGGCGGCTTGCGGATCACCCGGCCCAAGGACTCTTGCGTCCTCCGCACCACCGCCTCGTTCATAGCGGCGGCGGGACTGCGCCGCCGCCACCACCGCCACAGCCGCCGCCACCGCCGCCACAGGCGACTCCGAGCATTCCCGACCTGCCCCGCGGCGGAGGGCGCCTCGCGGCGCATGCGCAGAGGCGGGAGGGGGTGGTTGCTAGGCACAGCGCGGCCCTAGCAACCGGCCCAGCGGCCTGGTCAGGGCCTGCCCTCCTGCTGGAAGAGTCACAGAATCACAGAATTCACAGAATCACAGAATTTTCTAGGTTGGAAGGGACCTTAAAGATCATCTTGTCCAACCGTCAACCTCACTGACAAAAATAGACACCCACACAACAAACAAGGAGCATCATCACTAAACTATACCTCCCAGCACTACATCAACCCATCTTTTGAACACCTCCAGGGATGGGGCCTCAACCACCTCCCTGGGCAGCCCATTCCAATGCCTGATGACCCTTTCACACAAAAAAAAACCAACCCAACAATCCCAGGCACTAGAACATGCCCTGAAGTGCCACCTCTACATGCTTCTTAAATCCCTCCAGGGATGGTGACTCCACCACCTCCCTGGGCAGGCTCTTCCAGTGCCTGACCACCCTCTCAGGAAAGTCATTCTTCCCAAGATCTCATCTAAACCTCCCCTGCCCCGTCTTCAGACCATTTCCTCTGCTCCTGTCATTATTCCCCTGGGAGAAGAGGCCAACCCCCACCTCTCTCCACCCTCCTTTCAGGGAGCTGTAGAGGGCAATGAGGTCTCCCCTCAGCCTCCTCTTCTCCAAACTAAACCTGCCCAGTTCCCTCAGCCTCTCCTTGTGTGACTTGTTCTCCAGACCCCTCACCAGCTCTAGGAGGACTAGATGATCTCCAGAGGTCCCTTCGGACCCCCACCATTCTGTGATTGTGTGTGACTTTTTTAACGGGCCATTCCACAATCACTTAAGCAAACTCTAATGAGTTAAAAGGAAAAGAAAAAGAAAACCCACAGTCTTCTTTAAAGATTTCCAGGGATTGCACCACGAGCAGAAGATAACCATTCCTTAGCAATCTCTGTTTCTTAGCCTGTGCAGAGCCACAGTCCTCTAAATGATTTATGCTAGTCCTCTTGAAATACAGACCAGATTAATTTGTGCGCAAACGGGGAGTTAAAATAACGAGCAGGTGATACTACACCATGCTTTCCCAAAAAGGGAAAACACAAGCTAAAAATCTCTTTAATTTGTATCCAAGTCCCAGTCCTCCACATGAATGCAGGTCTTTTCAGAGTGCCACCCAGGTTGGGTTGGAGAAACTTCTTGCACAGAGGTGGGAACGCTGCCTTCCTAAGGAAAAGATTTGGAAATTAAAGCTTAACGAAGGTTGAGCCCATCCAATAACGTGTACTGGTGAGACACGCGTAAGACAAACCAAACAGACAATATAGAAACGACTTTTTATTTTGTGAAGAACACTTGAAAAATAAAGATGAAAGCTTTTCCAGGCTTTGGAATATAACCATCATAAACTGTGGAATCACAAAGACTCCATTTTAAAAAGGTGTTCCCTCTCCCCACCCCCATTTTTAATGAACCCTCTCCATTGTGGAATGACCCACAATAGTGTTTTAAGAAAAAAAATAATGTGCACTTTGAGCCAACGTTGGAAATCCAAGATTGGTTCAGTGCAGGCGCTGCTACATTACACTTTAACAAAGGCACATACTCAAATTCCCACATTAGCACTTGGAATCCATCTTTAAATTGCTCGAAACTTCACGTTTTCAAGAAGAGATGGGAGATACCAAAAGGTAGGTGGGAAAGTTGAGCTCAGTACGGCTGCCCAGTGAGGAACTGGAAGAATTGAAGGGACAGCAAAGTAAGTGCAATGCAAAGGAACAATCTGCACCCAAAAACTCTCTCGCTCACCTCAGTCATCACTGTGCATGGTGACATCTTGTAAACCCTGGCTCGCAAGAACACTTGTTGATACGGATGAAGGCGATGCAAAATAAGACAGGGAAAGCAATTGGCTGCTCTCCCCTCAGTCAGAAAAACCCAGCCATAAAACTAGGATCTGAAGATAACCACCACCTACAACCCAAACAGCGGGGAAATTTAAATAGCCCCTTCCTGAATGAATCGACCTCAGAAAGCACAAGAAGCACCTGCTCAACTTTAAAGATGTGCAAAGAAATAAATACTAATCATACACTTCAAGGTGTATGGACAAAAACAACTTTCTTTTTCCCTCCCCCGATAGCTGAGAGTGTCAGTTTTTGTCTTGAAGCTGTCTGAAATACCAGGATATCGTTAAAAAGGGTGAGAGATCTTCTCACGTCAGCCAAAATTTTAGGAGTCTGTTGTACTGGCATTTCCTGTTCCAAAATCTTCTATACATATATAGAACAGGTTAAACATTTACGACAGTATCCATAAGCGACTGGTATTTTGTCCTCTCATTACGACAGTTTTAATTAAGGAAACTTCAAGGCTACGTTCCAAAGATATTTTTGAACAATTGCTTTGCTTATTTTGGAATAGGTTTCCGGACATTTGTGTGGATCAACAAGGCTCTGCAGTGTGTTGGAGAGCAGACCTCACTTGATCTCAGGCTCCCAACCACAAAGGGCAAAACCATTAGATGCCACCAGCACCTCACTGCTGCACAGAAAATGCTTGTGTGTGGCCACCGTTCCATTTTCACTTCATGCAAAATGTGTCTGAATGAGTAAGAGTACTGAATTGATATCAGCAATCCATTCACTCAGGCTCCCAGCTGCAAAGGGCAAAACCATTAGATGCCACCAGCACCTCACTGCTGCACAGAAAATGCTTGTGTGTGGCCACCGTTCCATTTTCACTTCATGCAAAATGTGTCTGAATGAGTAAGAGTACTGAAAAAAAAAAATACAAGCCTTTTTCCTGAGTACAATAAAACCCAGCTCAGACCAAACATCAGCTCTGCCAACTTCTTCCATCCCTTTTGTTTGTTAAGGAAGCTTACGGACAACAAAAAAAGCCCTAGAAACTTTGAAATATAAAGTTACCACACTGTTGTTCTGGATCGCAAAGGTCCTCAGGATTTAGAGCTCGACAAACTCTAAACTTGCCCTTCTTTGAGCCAATTTAATAGACTTTGTCCAAAGATTTCCACATTTCCTTCTTTCCTGACATCTGACTCGAGCTACTATAAACTTAGGTTTTAATAGACACAAAAGCAAATTCTAATACCTCTAATAACTTCAGTGATCAGAGATGGAAAAATATTTCTAAAAAGAGATGTTTATGACAGTATTAAAAACCCCAGCAAACTTTGTAGTGATGGTGCATCTGACCAACAAAAAAAACATTGTTCTGGATCGCAAAGGTCCTCAGGATTTAGAGCTCGACAAACTCTAAACTTGCCCTTCTTTGAGCCAATTTAATAGACTTTGTCCAAAGATTTCCACATTTCCTTCTTTCCTGACATCTGACTCGAGCTACTATAAACTTAGGTTTTAATAGACACAAAAGCAAATTCTAATACCGCTAATAACTTCAGTGATCAGAGATGGAAAAATATTTCTAAAAAGAGATGTTTATGACAGTATTAAAAACCCCAGCAAACTTTGTAGTGATGGTGCATCTGACCAACAAAAAAAAAAAAAAGAATCCCAACATTTAGGGTGATTACAAAACAGTCACCAAAACGTTATACAATATATTAATCCGTTTTTCTCATGGATAAAGTGCATTTACCTAGCCTGAGAGTAAGTACCACATGGATAAAGGGACGCTAAAGCACTTCCCCAAGAGAGATTAGAAGGAAAATCAAGAGTTATCCTGAATCCTATATCCAGTTTGTCTCGGCGATTTCTTGATGACACTTTGGGCCAGACCCTCTTCCTGGTCCAGTTGGGGTGCTCCATTCCAACTGAGTGCATCGGTCGTACGGTCTGGGCAGCGAATCATCTCCTGTTGCTATCTGAAAACTCCCACATTGATAGAAAGGGCCACTTCTGGTTTACGGTGCTTAATACTCAGCTTCTCCTCGGAGAAACCATGGTTCTGTAAGCGTTCGGCTTGCCGACTATTAAAAACAAACAAAAAAATTAAGATGCCTAATATTAATGTTGATCACAGAATCACAGAATCTTCTAGGTTGGAAGGGACCTTAAAGATCATCTTGTCCAACTGTCAACCTAACTGACAAAAATAGACACCCACACAACAAACAAGGAGCATCATCACTAAACCAGACCTCCCAGCACTACATCAACCCATCTTTTGAACACCTCCAGGGATGGGGCCTCAACCACCTCCCTGGGCAGCCCATTCCAAGGGCTGAGAACCCTTTCAGTGAAAAAACTTTTCCCAGTATCCAGCCTGAACCTCCCCTGGTGTAACTTGAGGCCATTTCCTCTTGTCCTGTCGCCTGTGACTTGGGAGAAGAGACCGACCCCCACCTCTCTACACCCTCCTTTCAGGGAGTTGGAGAGAGCAAGAAGGTCTCCCCTCAGCCTCCTCTTCTCCAGGCTGAATAACCCCCAGCTCCCTCAGCCTCTCCTCACAAGACTTATTCTCCAGACCCCTCACCAGCTTTGTCGCCCTTCTCTGGACCCGCTCCAGCACCTCAATGTCTTTTTTATGGTAGGGGGCCCAAAACTGGACACAGTACTCAAGGTGGGGCCTCACCAGTGCCCAGTACAGGGGGACAATCACCTCTCGGGCCCTACTCCCCACGCTGTTCCTGACACAGGCCAGGATGCTGTTGGCCTTCTTGGCCACCTGGGCACACTGCTGGCTCCTGTTCAGCCCACAGGCCACCAACACCCCCAGGTCCTTTTCTGTCAGGCAGCTCCAGCCACTCTGCCCCCAGCCTGGAGCTCTGCAGGGGGTTGGTGGGACCCAAGTGCAGGCCTCGGCACTTGGCCTTGTTGAACCTCATCCCGTTGGTCTTGGCCCATCCATCCAGCCTGTCCAGATCCCTCTGCAGAGCCTCTCTACCCTCCAGCAGGTCGACACTGCCACCCATCCTTAGCGCCGACAGAAGCACAAGCCTGGGCTGGAACCCAGTTTCCACATAGCTGTAAGGGTGACACTGCAAGCTCACACTTAGAACCTGTGCAGCCCTAGAGCAGCAAAGGGGTTCATTTTTCATCTCTGGACAAATTCTGCAGCGTGTTGCAAAAGAAAAATCTCAGGCTCAATTCAGGCACGTGGCGCTTAAAGCCAGGACTTTGAATTACCAGAGTACATCCATCAGGACTACTGGAGCTGTGTGCTCTGACAACACCCAGCTAGCACTCTCCCAAAATATTACCCAGGTATCCAGCTAGTCTGAAAAGCAGCAAGGAACACTTTGCATATTTCTAAAGAAAAATAAATAATACTCAATACCTTTTCTTTTTTTCTAATGCAAGCTGCCTTTGTTTCTCTTTTCCAACATCATCCCTCACTGTGCTGAAGTCCTTACTGTCATCAAGGAGAAGGTTCTGTTGTGAAAAAAGGATTGAGTGTTACCAGCTTATAATTTTCGTCCACCAAAACCATTTCCCACATTACTCAGTTCAAACAATTAACTTCAAGTGTGTTTCATTAAACTAGTTTTATAGCAATTAACTTCAAGTTAACCAGGTGGTAAATTCAAAAATTTTTTTGGACTCCGCTCTAGTTTTTGCATTTAACAGTGAATTTACATTATTCAGAGATTTCTCTCCATAGTCTAATACATCAGGATAGGACTTTTCACCCGCAGCTTTAAAACCCAGCAAGTATGTTCTTGCACAGGTCTCTTAAATAAGCCTTATTGCCAATTCAAACCACAATATGCTGTCCTGTAACTCTTATTTAAATAATGAAATAGATCTCTAATAATTCTTTGGAAAACGTAATGGGTTTACATTTGCAATATGGTTTTTAAAAGGATCTTGGATTTTACTCAGAGATGGGGAAAAAAAAAAAATCAATACAATGAGGGCAAGAAAAAAGATCCAGTTTCTTCTGGATCAAACGTGGTGTTCAAACCTAGAACAGAAACTGAGTGCTTGCACTGGCTGAGAGCAGCACAAGAGCCTCTAAGGTATTGCCCAGCACCAAGATAAAAGGGGAAAAGCATGAAAGCTCCACCAGGTTGCTCACCAAAACGTTATACAATATATTAATCCGTTTTTCTCATGGATAAAGTGCATTTACCTAGCCTGAGAGTAAGTACCACATGGATAAAGGGACGCTAAAGCACTTCCCCAAGAGAGATTAGAAGGAAAATCAAGAGTTATCCTGAATCCTATATCCAGTTTGTCTCGGCGATTTCTTGATGACACTTTGGGCCAGACCCTCTTCCTGGTCCAGTTGGGGTGCTCCATTCCAACTGAGTGCATCGGTCGTACGGTCTGGGCAGCGAATCATCTCCTGTTGCTATCTGAAAACTCCCACATTGATAGAAAGGGCCACTTCTGGTTTACGGTGCTTAATACTCAGCTTCTCCTCGGAGAAACCATGGTTCTGTAAGCGTTCGGCTTGCCGACTATTAAAAACAAACAAAAAAAATTAAGATGCCTAATATTAATGTTGATCACAGAATCACAGAATCTTCTAGGTTGGAAGGGACCTTAAAGATCATCTTGTCCAACTGTCAACCTAACTGACAAAAATAGACACCCACACAACAAACAAGGAGCATCATCACTAAACCAGACCTCCCAGCACTACATCAACCCATTTTTTGAACACCTCCAGGGATGGGGCCTCAACCACCTCCCTGGGCAGCCCATTCCAATCCCTGATAACCCTTTCAGTGAAAAAATTTTTCCTAATATCCAGCCTGAACCTCCCCTGGCGCAACTTGAGGCCATTTCCTCTTCCACGCTGTTCCTGACACAGGCCAGGATGCTGTTGGCCTTCTTGGCCACCTGGGCACACTGCTGGCTCCTGTTCAGCCCACAGGCCACCAACACCCCCAGGTCCTTTTCTGTCAGGCAGCTCCAGCCACTCTGCCCCCAGCCTGGAGCTCTGCAGGGGGTTGGTGGGACCCAAGTGCAGGCCTCGGCACTTGGCCTTGTTGAACCTCATCCCGTTGGTCTTGGCCCATCCATCCAGCCTGTCCAGATCCCTCTGCAGAGCCTCTCTACCCTCCAGCAGGTCGACACTGCCACCCATCCTTAGCGCCGACAGAAGCACAAGCCTGGGCTGGAACCCAGTTTCCACATAGCTGTAAGGGTGACACTGCAAGCTCACACTTAGAACCTGTGCAGCCCTAGAGCAGCAAAGGGGTTCATTTTTCATCTCTGGACAAATTCTGCAGCGTGTTGCAAAAGAAAAATCTCAGGCTCAATTCAGGCACGTGGCGCTTAAAGCCAGGACTTTGAATTACCAGAGTACATCCATCAGGACTACTGGAGCTGTGTGCTCTGACAACACCCAGCTAGCACTCTCCCAAAATATTACCCAGGTATCAAGCTAGTCTGAAAAGCAGCAAAGAACACTCTGCATATTTCTAAAGAAAAATAAATAATACTCAATACCTTTTCTTTTTTTCTAATGCAAGCTGCCTTTGTTTCTCTTTTCCAACATCATCCCTCACTGTGCTGAAGTCCTTACTGTCATCAAGGAGAAGGTTCTGTTGTGAAAAAAGGATTGAGTGTTACCAGCTTATAATTTTCGTCCACCAAAACCATTTCCCACATTACTCAGTTCAAACAATTAACTTCAAGTGTGTTTCATTAAACTAGTTTTATAGCAATTAACTTCAAGTTAACCAGGTGGTAAATTCAAAAATTTTTTTGGACTCCGCTCTAGTTTTTGCATTTAACAGTGAATTTACATTATTCAGAGATTTCTCTCCATAGTCTAATACATCAGGATAGGACTTTTCACCCGCAGCTTTAAAACCCAGCAAGTATGTTCTTGCACAGGTCTCTTAAATAAGCCTTATTGCCAATTCAAACCACAATATGCTGTCCTGTAACTCTTATTTAAATAATGAAATAGATCTCTAATAATTCTTTGGAAAACGTAATGGGTTTACATTTGCAATATGGTTTTTAAAAGGATCTTGGATTTTACTCAGAGATGGGGAAAAAAAAAAATCAATAAAATGAGGGCAAGAAAAAAGATCCAGTTTCTTCTGGATCAAACGTGGTGTTCAAACCTAGAACAGAAACTGAGTGCTTGCACTGGCTGAGAGCAGCACAAGAGCCTCTAAGGTATTGCCCAGCACCAAGATAAAAGGGGAAAAGCATGAAAGCTCCACCAGGTTGCTGAAGAAAAAAAACACCATTATCAACAAATTTCCTATCGCCCGGATTCACAGACTAGCACTTCCATGGAGATGTATGGAGCAGGATGAAGAAAACCAGGAAGAAACTCAGATACTGCAAAGCATACAGTGCATGACACTAATCCTTGTGCAACGACTCAAACCAAGTCAATTCACCTTCACACCAATGACATCTCCATCTTTCAGGTGATAAGGCGCTGACTGTAAACTCTCCTGCTTTTTCTTCCGTTTCCTCTTTGAAATCTGCTGTGTCTGAATAAAATAGGAAAAAAAATTAGAAGATTTGTACCCCACAGATTTCAGAAATCTGCTTAAATATGCTTGCTTAAGAACTGCAGCACAAACCAAAACGTACTTCTCTCAAAAAAAAAGCTCTCTCTCTCTGTCATACCAGATCTTACCCAGCTAGATATTGGCAGCCACTCAAATTTTTCCGGGAAGTATTTGGCTATTTCGATTTTATCTACGGGGAGACAATAGTGAGAAGCCACTCGTTGCCTCAGCGCCCAGGTTGTGCACTCTTTGGAGATATCCCACACCAAATCTGTAGAGTCGTAGTAGTCCCTCTCCCCTGGTATGCCCATCTGGACTCGAAGCAGCAGTTCATGGGGGCTGTCGTCAGGAAGAGAAAACAGACCGTTTTCTTGTGAGTCACGCTTTCAGAACCCACAATTCCCAGTTTTCACTCCCTTATTTTTGTTCATGGAAGAAAAAACAAACCACCTCTAAAGTCTTCTCACATACTGCTATCTGAAATCCTGACAGAATGTCTTTAATCCCTGAAACAGGCTGCCCAGGGAAGTGGTTGAGGCACCATCCCTGGTGTTATTTAAAAGATGGGTAGACATAGTGCTTAGAGACACGGTTTAGTGATGGGTTTCCTCAGAGTTAGGTTGATGGTTGGACTAGAAGATCTGAGAGGTCCCTTCCAACCTTGGGAATCCTACAATTCTAAGTTTAAAGCTGCACAATTAAGTCTCCCCTTCCAACCTTGGGAATTCTACGATTCTAAGTTTAAAGCTGCACAATTAAGTCTCATCTTAAAGACACCGCCGTAATAAATAAGTATCTTGACATCTTACCCCAAATGCTCTTCTTTTTGCAAAGCTTCTATGCAGATTTCCACTCGGGAGCCCAGCTTATAGTCACTGAAAATGAAACAAAGATTACACACATTTCCAGTCGCGTATCCTAAATTCTCCGAGAAGAAAAATCACTGTTTTAATCAAGTAGACCTGTAAGCACATCTTACATCTGGAAAACCAAAGCAAGAGGTAACTGGAACAAAAAGGAAAACCTCAGAAAAGTACAAAAATGGCACTGAAAACCACTTAAAATACAGCTTAGCATAATAAGCATGGTATGATTGACTTATTGTCACACCTCTCCCTTCCACAGCACTTGAGTTAAAAAACATGCTCGGTAAAAAAATTGAAGTAACCAGAAATGAGCTTTCTGTTGACATTTCAGAGCTGATTTATCTCTCCCCCAACCCATCCCACAAGTCCAAGGCAACGCTACTTGTGTGTTTTGTAAGAAACCTACTTGAGCTGCTGCTTGTTGTTTCGTAAGAGCTTGCCTGGGCGCTTGTTTTCCACTGTCCATGCTCTGAGAAATGAGGGCAGTGGGACAACCTGCTCCTGGCACAGGGTCATAGCCTGAAAAAAAAAGAAGCATTTCTTTAATAATTTTAGCTGCCAGTCTTCTCGGGGGAAAAAAAGAAAAAAGAAAATAAAAGAACAAACCACACCATCTGCTGATTAATTCTCAACACAATCAGAAATAAGGCAAGGTATTTAGATTTATTCCACACCAGCTGTTGCTCGTGACTTACAGGTGATGGCTATGATCAACAGACTCAGCCTCAAAGCCTCACTCCCTCCTGACATTTCTCAACTTCCCTTTCAAAAGTACTGGATTTCTTTGTTTAACCAAAATTTGTATCGCTGGGAGGGAATGAGGCTGACACAATCGCGAACCCCAACCTCTAGCCAAGTGCTAAGCAAGCTCCTTTAAGCCTTATCAAGGACACCATACTCTTCCCATGCTAAGGCAATTCTCCTTGTTCACAAGATGCAAATGGTGAGTTTTTCATAGCAGTGGTTTGCCAGAGACTGAAACTGAAGCTGTACCCAAAACAGTAAGTGCTGGTATAGATCAGAATCAGGTGAGATATCCTCCCCCATGCAGTTTAAGAAGAACAGCCAACTGGCTAAACAATAAGGAGCCTTATGCTAGGACTGGTTTATGTCTTTTTGTGGATTTAGGTGGGTTTTTTGGCTGGGCTTTTGATTTTTTGCTTTCGTGGTGTTTTTGTTGTTTGGTTTTTAGTGTATTAAAATCATACTTTTCCGGTTAAAAAAAAAAGCACATAAAGGCACCTTAATTTCTGGCCAAGGAAACTAAGCTACATCTTCCTCGATGACAAACATGACCTTCTGTGCATCAAATGCAATTCTTTACTCATTAGATTCAACATACAAAAAAAAAAAAAAAAAGCCGATGCAGAAAACAATGTGGAAATGGAAAAGTGGCTTTTTTAGGAAGTGCTTGTATGTGTGTGCTTCTCATGAGTAATTTTTACGTTGTGAAATAAAGATAGGGCTGCAAGCCAAAGTTCCAGATGAAGGGCAACAAGGCTTTTTGCAGGTCAGGACACATGACAGGTAGAATGGCAACTGCAGGAGACATACTAAGGAAGTCTCTGAGCTACATGCTCCAACTGCCTCTTGGTACTTACCACTGAACATGGCATATAAGCAAATGCCATATCAGAACATACTAGAGACAAGGGAAAAGGAAATAAAAAAAATAGGTATTAATAGAGCTCAATTGATCACAGTGTTGCTGTACATTTCCAATACAGGAGAACATCTAACCTGCATTTTCAGATCTTCCAAAGAAGCTTCTCCTGCTATTTCTATACTGCCAGCATAACAGAGATCCATGTCTGTGTGGATGGATTCTGGTGAATCTTTAGATGGGGGAGAGGAAGAAAGAAACAACAGAAGAGTCAACATGATTTTGTTTATCATCCTAAGAGCGAACAGTCACTTCAGGGTGAGATTTCACTTACAGAAGGGACCTGACCTCAATTTTTTTTTGGAGGGCAGTTCAAGAAACATAATATATAGTTGCTAAAATGCATTCTGTTAGTTGCCAAACAGGAGGAGTTCCACCTGAACCCCTACTGCAAATATTACAGTTATTCACATTTGTAAATAGCATTAATTATTGGTTCAGACCCTGAAACGTAGAGCGTGTTGCAAGAAAACTTAGGTCTGCTCTTACCTATGCTACTGAAATCATCAGGGGAGAAAGTAAAACTCAGAAGACATTTGAGACAAAAGAAGAAAAATGTGAATAAATTTTCTAAAAGGAGAGGGATCCTGCCCTGCAACACTATTTGGTAGCAAAGGAAGAAGATTATTTTTCCTGTAAAAAGGAAAATCAGTTTGTTTCCCATTTTCCAATTTGCAGTTGTCCCCACTTCATTTTCTTCTTCTTTTTTAACCCTCACTTGATTTTCCTACCATAGCTGGCTTTTTATTTCGATTTGAACTTCAGAAAAGTTAATGCAGGTTAAAATACTGAATGCATTTGCTTTCATTCTCTGTAAGATTTACTCATCCCTCCCTTTTTACAGCTTCTCAAAAAGCAACAAGCAAAAAGCCTGAAGGGAATGAGATGTGATCACCTGGTCACTGAGTAGATACTTTAAAATACTGCCTCTGCTTTCAGCTCTGGAGAAGCCATTTCATTTACTGACAAGTAAACTGCCCTGCTTCAAAATTTAGTGAAGGTCTTACCCTTGGAACAGATATCACTACGGAACATCAGAATAGTACTATCAAGCATTTGTGGCCTTAGGAAACAGATGCAATTTTTATTTTCTTTTTTTAAAAGTGGCTCCTTTCACCATAAACTTGCTGAAACTTGAACAGCGACTCCTAGGTTTCAGGAGGATTTTACACCTTTGGACTAATATTTGGGTTTTGACTCAAAGGCCTCAGTGTGATCACGGACAATCAGGCCACAGAGCTCCTTTCAAAAGCAGCATCAAGCTTACCTCCTGCAGGTGACATCTGCAAAGCATCCATCTGGCAGGTCATCCCATTCACTTGGTCTTGTGCATTCTCTCCGTGTTTCATATGAGTCGAAGACTTGAACCACCAGATCGGTATTTTCAGGAAACCCTGAAAGCAGTGAACAGAAAGTCCTGGGTAGCTCGTGTGCTTCAACACAGACAATAAAAAATGTTCCCTTCATCTCAGGAAGAAGGAAAAGAAAGACTTCTTCAAATCTGAGCTTTTAGAATGGCATTGACACATCCATCTAAGATCACACCTCATCAACTCTCACTTCCTACTTTTACAGGGACTAAAGTGAAAAAAAAAAAAAATCCAGCTGCACCCAGCCTAGCACCCCCATCCTGACTCTGCTGCCTTGGCAACCAACATCATGGATGCAACTCAGTGGCTCCCAACACTCCTGGAACACTCTTGCCACCATCTCGTTGAGGGCACCGAGGCATCTGATGAGGGCACACAAGGCGAGGTGAAGGGCAGTCCCTGTGCCCAAGGAGCAGCAGAATGACACAGGGGAGCAATCCCCAAAAAAGGCATCCTTAACGCCCCCCCCAATCCTCCTCCTCCTCCCACATTAGGGCATCTTCTAGGTCACAGGCCCCTCAGCTCCCAAAACAGCCATATTTGGCAACACGTGCCACCACCATGGTGGTCTCCTGATGGTACGAGCCACCTCACTGCCTTCTGTTCTGGGCCCTACAAAGACCCTGGCAACTAGCCCACAATTGAGCTTCAAGGTCCTCTAGTGCCGCTTATGCAGCTGATGGTGTGAAGCCCTTGGAGGTAGATCTACCTGAAGACTAAGAAGAGCCAATGGAAGTGGATCCTGCATCCACCTCCAGCATGGCTGTCCTGGTACCACTACACTGTGCCAGGCCTCCCCTTCATGACGCCACACCATCTCCTCTGTTCTGAGCCCTAAGAAAAGCTGGCCAGACAACATGGCTTCTGTGGCCAAGGGGGCAGAAGACCACTGAGGACCCTGGGGCCTGGAGGTGGAGTCCCTTCACATTGAGAATGATGATGATTGAAGATGAAGCCAGACCCTCTGTGGCAATGCATGAAGAAGCAAAGAAATTAGAGAGACAGCTGCTCCTCTGGAGAGGCAGAAGACCACACGTCTGCCAGGAAGCAGTGCTGGCCTTTGGCATTAAGGTCCCTTCTAGCTGTTTCATGAGCAGTTCTTTCCAAGATTGAGTACTGCCTAATTTAAAAAAAAAAAAACCACAATAAAACAAGAACAGTAAAGATGCTTTCCTCCTTTCTGATCTGGAACTCTGGCAACTGCATGTGGACTCCTCTGTCTCCTCCTGGTCTTTCCAGTCCAGGCTAAGGGAACTGCCTCTGGTTACGAGGGTGGTGAGACACCAGCCCAGGCTGCCCAGAGAAGTTGTGGATGCCCCATCCCTGCAAACCTTCAAAGGCAGGTTGGACGGGGCTTTGAGCAACTTGGTCTAGTGAAAGATCAAAATTAGGTGATCTTTAGAGGTCCCTTCCGACCCAAACCATTCTATGATGCTGCTTGAGGTTTCTTAGGAAAGAATCCTCCCATTTATATAACTATCCCTGATAAGAAGGTCTCTCAGCAGGGCCCTCCGTTTTCAAACACCATCCTCAGTAAAAACCTTAACTGAAGGCAAACACTTCAGTTCCTCTATCTTCATGATTTTCTGAGCAAGTAGTATGTCCTATGATGCTGCTTGAGATTTCTTAGGAAAGAATCCTTCCGTTTGTACAACCATCCCTGATAAGGTCTCTCAGCAGGGCCCTCCGTTTTCAAGCTGCTTGAGGTTTCTTAGGAAAGAATCCTCCCATTTATATAACTATCCCTGATAAGAAGGTCTCTCAGCAGGGCCCTCCGTTTTCAAACACCATCCTCAGTAAAAACCTTAACTGAAGGCAAACACTTCAGTTCCTCTATCTTCATGATTTTCTGAGCAAGTAGTAGAGTAAGAGTTGTGCCTTCACAAGAACCTTGCATGCCAGAAATACTGATTTCCTCCAGATCTGTCAACTTTAACAGACTTTTAGGCAGAGAAGCTGCAGCAGGCAAGCCTTCTACTACAGAAGTTGAAAGAAGTAATTTACACAGACTAAGAATATTGTAAATGTTGATTGAAATAAAAAAAATAAAAAAGCTGTAAAACTACAAAAAGCTTTATTCATTATTGCTGACCAGGAAAAAACCAAACAAACCAACCCATGCTTATACTAGCACATTAAAGTTTTCAGACATTGTCAACTGACTGAAGAACACAGAATCTCTTGTTTTACCTTTGGGGGAAGCTTCCCTTCAGTTATAACCAAAGTATCTCCTCTGCAAACATTCAGCTCCTTCAGAGTGGCATTCTGCAGGAAGAGAAAGCACAGCATGCCTATAAGTCTACACATTCTTTTGCTTTGTTTCCTAAAGAAAACATTGGTGGGTTTTTTAGCCAAGCACCCCAAAAGGCTAAGGTGTTTCGCTTTTTCCAAAGGGCACAGAGATATCCATTTAACATCCCCTGCTCGGAGACTGTCGTGCAGCAGCACACAAATATTACACCTACAGGAGTCTGCTCTGCTGGGGCTCCTTCCAGAGCATCCTTTGCACCTCCACATCTCACCAACCGAACACTTAGGGCTTCTTTGTAGATGTATCTTTAAAGTATTGTAAGCCTAGACTTTAGGGAAAAAATGCTTATGTGGGTATGGCTTAATCCTAGTCCCTGAAAATAAGAGGTAGGTGCACAAGATTTGCATTTGTTATGGTTTGAGAAAACCCATAACAATCTATTGTCATTTAGACAATTATTCTATCACCCGATGACCTCTCCCCACCCAGAAAGGGGAATCGGGGAACACAAGGAAAACACAAGGGTTGAAATATAAATAAGATTTAACAGACTAAAACTAAATAGTTAACAATAATACTAAAAAACCAGTATTAATCCCGATACTGATATAAGATACAGGAATTATACCCAGCCAGTTATATCAGTAGGAAGCTGTGCACTCCCAGCAGGGACAGCAAATGGCGGACACTGCCAGCGCAATGGCTTCAGGAGGAAGGGAAGGCCTCAGGGCTCCGGCACCGGGGCAAGGAGTTGTCTGGACCTGCTGCCATCAAGGGAGAGCCAACTATGCAGCAAATTTTTCTAATTTATATTGAATGTGACGTTCATGGTATGAAATAATCCTGTTGGCCAGCCTGGGTCAAATGCCCAGGCCTTGCTCCTCCTTGCCCCTGCACCTGGCAAGGCTCAAAAACACTAAGGCCTTGAATCCCACAGAGCCTGGCTGGCTATAAAGTAAGTATTTTCACAAATTCAGACACTAGAGTCTTCTAGAAGTGCAATTTTCCCCAGCATTAAAAGAAAAGTTAGTCCTGTGTCTCTCAACCCAGGACAGCATTTTAACCACACTTATCCCAACGCTGTCTTTCTAAGGCCCTGTGAAAGTAAAACAGGGTGCCTGCTAACGTCGCACACGCAAAATCATCACACATTTGCTTTACTGCAGCTCTTTTCAGGGAGAGGCTCTCCAGAAAAAAAGGAGTAAATAAACTACCGCATGCGTCAAGTCAAAAATAGGATCCTCTTACTTCCTGACTTAAGGCTTCCCCTGCTTCATAGCACCAGTCAATCCTTCTCAAGTGCCAGTTGTCACCTACCAAAACACAAAAACATACATATGGAAAAGCAATTAGCTAACAGTGCTGCTTTAAAAAAAAAAAAAACAAACAACCCAAAACAACCACCAAAAAAAATCACCCCACCCCAAATTACAAAACTTTTAGTAAGTTAAGGGGTTCTCTTGCTTGGTTTTTGATTGATTGGATTTTTTTAAACACATATCTGACACACTGAATGAAGTACCATCTTCATGTTCTTCTCCAGGCCCTAAAAACACTTTCCTGTTTGGAAATGGTCTTATTTGTAATAAATGTCTCTTCCTCACCTACCTAAGTGATTTCCCTGGTTTAAAAGGAAAACAAAGGAATTGGGTTGACAACACTTAGCCAAAAAGAAAACCAAAAACCAACACTGCAGGGGAAAGAAAATTAAAATGTTGAAAATGGAAAAAAGTCTGGAAACACTGAGTGTGAATTGATGATGAAATTCCCACGTCAATATACCATTTGAATCAACAAAGGGCTCCTTAAAATAAAAACTATTAGGAAAAATCCAGCTTCCCCTCTCCAAGTGTCTACCAGGAGACCTCACAAAAAGTAAAAAAAAAACCAAACAAAAAACCCTGGTGTAGTCCAGAAACTACAATATTTTAGATTTAGCACCTACATAGAAAGTGCACCAGGTACAGAAGGAACAAATACAATTGAATTTTTTAATTTAACCAAATTAACCAATGAAAATACACTTTATTCTTCGCAAGGTAAAAAAATTTGACTTTCAGAACTAGTAAAACCCAAGACCAGAAGGCATCTCATCAATAAATTCTGCAGGGGAAAAAAAATAAAAAAATCCCTTGCAGTGTTTTTAAACAACAAAAGCATCAAAATCCACTGAAGTCTGACATTTCTTTGAACGAGAGGAGTCAGATCACGAATCGCTACACAAGGTCAAATGCGATTTTTTTGCAAAAACAGTAATATAAACCAAAGCAATAAAAATAGAACCGTTGTTTCTTGGCAGTAAATCTGTTGTTTGACCAGGAAATTTCTGTGTGCTGCTTGCACTGTCCAGATCTCTTCCTTAATCCTCAGGTAAAAAGCTTAGTACCGAGAACCGCTAGCACCAAATAATGGCCAAACTGGGATGTCATTTTTGAATAACTTGTTCTTGCAAAGCGACCAAAAAAAGTACTTTTCACAGTTCATCTCGTGGAGTGGCTCCCACTGCCACAGCAAATCTTGTCAAAACAGCCAAACACCTCCACCTGCACCCAAGCAAACAGCCCAGGAACTGTGAATTTTGCCCTATTTTGATCACACAGAAAGCTTGAAACTGATTTCCAAGAGCAACTGCACAGCCAGCTTTTAAAAGAGCAAGAAGCTTGTCATTCTTTCCTCTGCTCACATGACAATAACACTATAACAAACTTATGACTTAAAAGTTTTAGGGTTGCAAGAGTATCTTAGAAATCTAGGAATTCCTAATTCTTTCCTCTACTCACATGAAAATAACACTGTAGCAAGAGTATCTTAGAAATCTAGGAATTCCTTTAAAAAAAAATAATCATGAAATAACAATGTAATAGAACTAACCTGATAATCCAGATTTTTCCAGCATTAAATTTAGACACTGAAAAAAAAGAAACAGACTTGTCTCAGGGCACAGGTTGGGAAATAAGGTTTTCAGCAAATCTACATGAGGATTTTCTACCATAAGAACTGAGTGACCAATTCCTGGTCAATTCCTAAAAAATAAGATTGCATAAACACGGTGTATTTGAGCTATATATTAAAACCTTCAAGTAGGAGATTGTTTTCAGGCAAGAAATCTACGTCTTCAGGTAAATCAGCTTTTATGCTGTTAAAAAAAAAAATAAATCTGTGCTGTCACTTTGTTTCTTCGCTTGAGCAAATTCTGTGCTGGTGTTTGAAAATGGCACTTTTTGAAGAAAAAAAAAAAAGAGAAAGCAAGTTTGAAAATTAAACCTGCAAACTCAACACCTTCCAGGCACTACTCACAGATGTTGTTCTGTGCGTTCAGAGTTTGATGAACTACAACAGAACTGGGGCATGCTCTGCAATGATTGAGTATATAAAAGGATATGTGCACGTACATATATATGTAGAATCATAGAATTGCCTAGGTTGGAAGGGACCTTTCAGGTCATCTAGTCCAACCATCAACCCAACACTGACAAAAGCCATCACTAAACCAACTCTCTAAACACTATGTCCACCCGTCTCTTAAATACCAAGAGGGATGGTGATTCCACCACTTCCCTGGGCAACCTGTTCCAATGTTTGACAACCCTTTCAGTGTAGAAATTTTAATTAATATCCAGTCTAAACCTCTCCTGGTGGAACTTGAGGCCCTTTCCTCTTGTCCTATCACCTGTTCCTTGGGACCGACCCCCACCTCTCCAACACCCTCCTTTCAGGGAGTTGGAGAGAGCGAGAAGGTCTCCCCTCAACCTCCTTTTCTCCAGGATGAACACCCCCAGCTCCCTCAGCCTCTCCTCACAAGACTTGTGCTCCAGACCCCTCACCAGCTCCGTTGCCCTTCTCTGGACCCTCTCCAGCCCCTCAATGTCTTTTTTGTAGGGCCCAAAAATGGACACAGTACTCAAGGTAGGAAGCTTTCAGGCTATGTTCATCCTTGGGGGAAAATCAAGGATGTTTCTTTACTACTTGGTGACAGATCAAGGCATTCTTCCCACTGGTCTTCTGGACTTGAAACACTTCCTTTGCCTCCGTGTCTCTTGGTGGCAAAGTGTGATGGCAAAGTTCTCCAGAAGCAGCAGACCTGTCCCAGGCATGGCAAAATCTTTCAAAAGCAGCCCCACTTACCTCTTTGACAGAGGCAGTCTCTTCCACAACGATCTCCATCTCAGGGCTTGCGTTTTGGTCACTCCCAACAATAAAATATAAGAAGAGCTAAAAAGGCAAATATAAGCAATCAGAATATATGTTTAAGTATGGAAATACTGTGAAATAACACCTCCTAAGGCACGTACAGCAACTGAATGGGTTAAAGTGAAAAATTTAAGCAGGACAGAGATGCAAGTGAGCTCTGGCCATCAGTAGAGCTTCATTAACCAGCTGTTCGTGTACTTACCTGCTGCAAATGAGAGACAAAACCTGCTAGAACTCTGATCTTTAGAAATACACACTATTTTTTTTCCCTTGAATATTTGAAACTTGTAGATATCAAGAGCCAGCTCTCCCCTTTCTTACTTTATGCTCTTTACAAAAGCATACAGGTATCAAAGCACAGAAGTTGGACAACCACAAACAGATGAATGATAAATGATTTACCATTAGTCAAATGAGCTACATCAACTGCTCTTGGTCTTCTACAACTGAGATAAATGGTGTGAGCCTTCATGCTGATATGTGTAATTCTCAGTGTTACTGAGCACTTTTTCCATGCCGTTTGCAACCATTCCGAGATTAAAAAAAAATGACTACATGAAATAGTGGGAAATAGAAGCAAAGCATAAAAAGCACAATAAAAATGACTACATGAAAAAGTGGGAAATAGAAGCAAAGCATAAAAAGCAGCACGAGGCTCTCTTCAGTCACAGCACGACTATACCTGAGTGGAAGTTGGAGCTTTCCCACGACACAGCCCTAGCAAGCTGCCCATTTTCAGTTCTGCTTCCTTGACAGTGTAATCTTCAGGCACTTGAGGGAGGACAAAAAACAAGGAGAACATCATAAGCTGCTGCTTCCTGAAAATATACGTCCTATTACGCTGCTCTTTAGAATAAGTAAGAAGTTCAGTGACATTGAGAGAACTTTCGCTTCCACAGTGTTGACATCAGACCTGTAAGCCTCCTGTGACTAAAGCAAAGCCATATTTGCATAAAGGTTCCTCCCCACCACTTCTGGTATATGGACTGACAGAAGAATTTAGGTTGGAAGGGATCTTTGGAGGTTGCCTGCTGCAGACCTCTTCTCAAAGCAGGACCAGCTCTGAAGCCAAATCAGTTCACTCTGGGCTTTTTCTGGTCAAACTCTGGATACCCCTCAGCTTCCCAGGACTCCGTGTCTACTGTTCGACCTCTCCCAATGTGAATTCCTTTTCCCACCACCACCACCATACCCAGACGGAATTTCCCTTGCTGAAACTTGGGTTTGCTGCCTCTAATTCTTTCCATGTGCTCCTCTGCAAAGAATCTTGCTCTGCCTGCTCTACAGATCGATGTTAACGAGGTAAAGATGGCAATTATAGAATCACAGAATCATAGA